AGCTGCTCTCACTCTAACTAACACCATCACTAGTTAATTCTGTTTCCTCCTCCTCTCTGAGCTGCTCTCACCTTAACTAACACCATCACTAGTTATCAGGACCTGATCAGTTCATGAAGTCACTCCGTGTTGGTTTGATTCCAGAGTTTATGAGACTCATTTAAACATCATGTAAACGACTCGTCAACACGTTCAGTTSAACACGAGTCGCTCACAGTCAGGACTCAGTGATAAAATGACCGGAGCGACACGCAGACGTGATCCGACATCATGGATTAATTCATGTTAATTAAATATCAAAATCAAGTTCGGCCTGTGACCCGTTTTCTCATTTCATCTTTGATCTGAAACAAACAAACCGTTCTTTGTTCTTTGGTATCAGATTCATAAATAATGAAATAATGACGAGTTTTTAATTTTCTGATTTAGTTTTTTACCTGAATATGAAAAGAACAAATGATACACGGATTCATCTCTACCTGTTTTACAGCATCAGTCGTTTTCTCGTGGCCGGTTTTCTTCAGCTCGCTCTTCCTCTTCCCGTCCCTCTTTAGCTCTCCTTTCCCAGCAGCCCCGTTGCCTTTACCGAAGTCTCTGCGCTCTTTGCCGCCGTCCTTCTGATGATGGTTCCGCATCATTTCGCGGCTCTGCTCTCGGGGTTTGATGTTCTCCTTGAAAGTGACGACGGGTCTGTCACTCCCGTCAGGCCACGAGCTCTGCGTCTTCCCTGCCGACAGCACCGACTTCAGGCTGGAGATTCCGCCGTCGTTAGACATCTGTTCGCCGTTTGACGACTCCTGCAGCACTGGAGCCTCCCTCTCCTGCGGCTCCTCGATGGCCTGCTCTGGAATGTCGGTGATGAAAAGGAGGAGACCTTCCTCACTCACTCTGCACTGAATGAGCCTGTAGAGACAGAGAGGACGAGCTGAGGTCAAACCTCGTCTCTTTCTCTTCATCGCTTTCATGGTTACACCGTCAGAACCGCAGAGAGTAGTCATGTGAAGAGTTTAAAATAACATGTAAAAGAACACGTGAGAAGCTGCAACAGTGACGAGAAGTTTCACATCAGGTTTGAAAACTAGAATCAGCGTCCTGTGGTTTTATTCCAGTTCTAACCAGTTACAGTTTCACGTTCTCCACATGTTCCTGACATGTTCCATTCACAACATGATGTCACTGTGACCTTTGACCACTCAAATCTAATCTGTTCATTCATGAGTCTTCGTGAATGTTTGAACCAAATTTGAAGAAATTCCTGTTCCTGTGACACAAGTTCACAAGAATGGGACGAAGGGACAACATGAAAACATGTCTCCAACCACTGGGTGTCGCCAGAGCAGAGACATAAAGAGCCTCATGATTTTAATAATATCAACTCTGTGTTTTTATTGTTAATCTGAAATGATTTTCTTAATCCAAGGAGAAAAAATGGCAACGACTTTCATTTTACATGACGTCAAAAAATATTTGTTTGACTTGCTGTTCATAAAGGTCTCCTCACCGTGTACCTTCACTTAACGAGCTGCTTTGTTAATGTAGAGCGTCATAAACTGATCGCAGAGCGCCACCTGCTGTGTTCTCTGTGCTCCTACAGTGTGAATGCTGTCAGATGCAGTCACACACCAACACTCACCCTGGCTGGTTGTCTGCCACCCATTTACCCAGACTGATGAGTCTCTGGTGTCGAGTGTGGACTGGCGGGCCGTCTCTGTCCACCAGGATTCCCTGATGACCTTTGGTGAAGTCCAGAGACCTGAAACAGAAACAGAAGTCAGCTCAGACACCGAGCGACCAAAGACTCTCTCACTCAAAGATGGAGGTGACTCTGTACCTCAGAGCCGGCCGGAGAGCCAAGAAACCCTGCAGCTCAAACTCCTCTGGCAGGGGTGTGACTGTGGGGAACACAAACAGACCTTCAGGGATGACATCTGAGACTCTCTCATTCAAAGGTTTCCATTTTGTGAAGAAAAGGAACAAACGAACAACACTAAAGTAGAAATTCAGTTTTATCACATTCATTCACCCCAGAGAGCAAATTTAAACAACTGGATTTCATGGGTGTTGATCGAGGGTCGAAACAAACGGACCAATGGATGTATTTATGTAGACGTATGGTCGTATGTATGGACAGCTGCAACAGCTCTCACCGACTTTGTTGTAGAGGCAGAATGAAAAGTGTCCCTGAGACGCTGCAGCGAAGCTTTTATTCTGAAGAAGACACTAAATACCACACATCCCACCTACAGCGATGATCTGATGTTCTCTCACAACACAAAGTCGTTTGTTCCTGATCACTGTTCAATCATCTCAAAGCTGACCTCGGTGAACTCCATCAAGAACCTGATCAATTAACTGTTGCTCTGTATATGATCAATAGCAGCAGGTGTCCTACCTGAGGGACGGGACACGTCGTCCTCTTTGGGCTGGAAACTGTTGAGGATGGAGACGAGCCAGGGCCAAACACTGAGGGACAGGAGGAGGAAGACAAGATCGAGCTTCAGCCCAGAATGAATCAAACCACAGAGACGACAAATGTTTCACCTCCGTGTTGATTGAGTGACGCAGCGCGACAGACTTACTGCTGCCTCTTGTCGACCGCGGCCTCGTGGAAGACGCTGGGTCTCAGTTTGAGCCAGTCCAGGGAAACTTTGATGGCCGGCAGAGGACACTCCCCCATGATGTCCTCCCCCCTGGTCTTGTTGAGCAGAACACGGCTGCACATGACACCCAGGAAGGACACTGAGGACAAAGGAAGTGACATCAGACACCAGGAAGCAACCAATCAGACTCAGACGGAGTGTGTGATTCTTACTGAAGAGTCCGAGCAGCTGGAACCAGCTGATCTGCTGCTCGCTGCTGTAGGCCTGCTCGCCACCGTCACATGTCAGGTCTCTGAGGTGGTGGAGCTCAAACAGGTTGATGACTGTGATGTGGACCAGCTGCTGAGAACTGAAGGCTTTCTGCAGGATCAGCCTCTGCACACACAGACACACACACATAGACACAGGCCAGGTGATTGTCTCCCATAGATTCTCTCTCTCATATTTTGCAGGTATCTCTGACTTGAGTGCTGCAGGATCCAGAAGACAACAATTATCATCATTAAATGAACTGTTGCTGTCATTAATAACAACTCTACATTTATAATTTACACTCTTATTGTTTTCATCATAAGAGGAAGTCTGTCAGAGCTGAATATGATGGTTACACAACTGATCCTGGTCTGTCTCCCTTTATTGTTTCATTCTGTAAATGTAAGTGGGTTCCAATCAAACTTCATGTCACGTTTGTTGGATCCGTCGAGTGATTGACAGTAAACTTACAGGACGACACAAACCCCAGTCTGTCGGCATCATTACCTGAAACTGCTCCTCCAGTTTCTCCCTCAGCGCGTCGAGTTTGTCCAGACTCTTACTCAGGTAGACATGACCGTGAAACTTGATGAAGGCCTTGATGAAATCTGACACACTCCACTTGGTTTTCACCTCGTCACGACTACAGAGACAAAGAAGAGAGAACATCAGAGATGTTTCAGGCTGAGCTCAGGTCGTCATCCTCGTCGGTCGGAGTGTGTGTGTGTAGTGTCGTTACCTCTCCAGGGCCTTGGACAGGGCCTTCTGCAGGTTGGTGGAGGCTGCTGGGAAGGGGAACTTGACCGCGATGCTGCGGCAGTAGTAGAAGATGGTGGTGAGGTGGTCTCCTTTAGAAGAGGCCAGGATGGCGAGCTGGTTGTAGGGCTGACCTGCAGCAGAGGACAAGCAGCTTCACTTCACTGTAAACATGGCTGCTGATGAAAACCTGCTTCAAGCTCAGGAAGAGTTCACATTTCAACTTTTATAACAGATCTGACTTTGTGCAGAACTGATGAAACAAGCTCAGTGACTTTGACTGTGGAACAGTAAAACTAAAACAATTCATACTATGAGACGTCTGTTTTTTTGATCTGACATCAGATATAAAACTTTGGTTTCAGTTAAAAGACTTAAAGTGTCTGTGAGGGGGACACGGGCCTGAGACGGGTGTGTGGGGTCAGTCTTAGAGACAGGGTGAGGAGCTCGGAGTAGATCTGTGGCCAGGCTGTGCGTCCTCTCCCTCGGGCAGTGGAGAAGTCTGTGGTCTCTGCTTCTGCAGCAAGGTGGAACTTTTTCCAATAACACCACGTTGTTGGAATGGAAATTATTCTTTTCATTTTTTTCCAGTGTATGCACAAGTCATACGTCATCGGGATATTCAACAATGACATCACATATCACATGTTTTCCTAATATCGTGCAGCCCTAGAGGACGGTGGTTCGGGCATCTAGTCCGGATCCTCCTTGGTGCCTTTCACTGGAGGTTACCAGGACCCTCAACCAGGAGAAGACCCAAGAGTAGATCCAGAACTCATCGGAGGGACTACATATCCCATCAGGCCTGGGAACGCCTCAGGATCCACCAGAAAGAGCTGGGGAACTGTTGCTGGGGAGAGGGACGTCTGAAATCACTTGGCTAGTTACCTCCTCAGTGACCTGAGCCCAGATAGGGGGAAGACACTGGATGGATGGTTTCAGATAAGCACACCCACCTTGTGAGTGTATCCAATACCACTGTCAGATAGCCATAGGCCTAGCTTAGCACAGAATACTAGAAGGGGGAGAGGACTGCTTGAGGACAGACTCACCGTTTGATGGAACCAGCTGAGCTGCGTGTCGGTAGTATGACTCCGCCTGGCTGGTCTGGTTACGGTAACGCGCTGAAACACAGAAAATGAAAATATGACATAGGAGTGTTAGCCTAGTGCAGTGGTTCCCAACCTGGGGTCCGCGCCCCCCACAGGGGGAGATTGCAGGGGGTGCGCAGAGCTTTGTCTGTTCTGAGGTTGTCAAGTTATTAAAAATATATTTGTGCATATTAAATTTTATAAAAATCCCAATAAGACACAAAAAAATGTAAACATATTTCTCGTCTGCAATTAATTTTTTTAATATAAATGACCAACATGTGTGACCTCTGACCTTCCATTCAGTCTCGTCAGGACTACCGGCTACGTTACCTCGATTGTTTAGCATCACACAAAATGTCGGGGAAACGAAAAAGTGATGTCCTCGCTATCAAAAAAGAAGTCGGTTACAAAAACAAGGCAGCATGAAGCCAAGCAAACTCAAACCAGGAGACTAAACACCCCGAGCCTGCTGGTGAAAGTCGGGAATATTTTGAGAGGAAGAAGCAGCTGGCACTATCAAGAAGATCTAYGGACATTAGAAGAGCTTTTGAAAGAGCAGGTAGTGATTTACACAGAGCCACGGAGGCATCATTTGAGTGTTCACTATTAATTGCCAAAGCTAAAAAGCCACACGACATTGGACAACAGCTTATCAAGCCCGCCTGCCTGAAAATTGTGGAGCGGCTGTGTGGACCACAGGTTGCTGATAAAGTGAGAACTTGCACTGCATGCTGCATCGCCATGCATTGGCCAGTAAAAAACTTTCAGCAGACCTCAGCAACACCCTGTCAACTGTTGTTAAAGTTGTAAATTTCATGAAAGCTCGCCCTACTAATAAGAGACTTTTGGCCCAACTGTGTGAGGATGAGGCACATCAAACATTACTGCTTCACACGGAGGTGAGATGGTTGTCGCGTGGACAAGTGCTTGTGCGTTTTATGGAATTGCAAGAAAAAATAAAAGAATTCTTGCAACATCACAACCAACCACTGTGTGAACAGCTGACTGGTGAGTTTTGGATCAAAGCGGCTTACCTGGCAGACACATTCACACTGTACAATGAGACGCACAAGCGGGTGCAGGGACCCGAATCAAACGTCATGCAGGGCAAAGATGCTCTGGATGCTTTTGTGCGCAAACTGGAGTACAGAGCTGCAAAAATGTCAAATGGGGACTTGCAGCATTTTCCACTTCTGCTGAAGCAGTCTGATGGCATCGTCAGTGCGTCTTTACGCACAGAGGCGCCTGTGGGTGGCTGTGGCTGAGGGGGAAAGCGGTCGTCCTCCAACCAGAAGGTTGGAAGTTCAATCCCCAGTCTTCCCATCTGCATACCAAAGTGTCCTTGGGCAAGATACTGAACCCAAGACTAGAACAGCTCTATATAAATACAACCATTTACCATTTACAGAGTTCACCCGGCACAGGAAGCTGCTCCGTGAGGAGATTAAGAGCCGCTTTGCCGACATCCACGACTATTTGTCAAAGGAAATGTGGGTGATGGATCCCTACATTTCCAGCCTTGAGGACGTGGTGTACCTCGGCTGTGAAGATGAACTTTGTGACCTTCAAGCTGATTCTGTGTCAAAAAAATATTTCCAGGAAAACGGATACAAACAGTTTTGGATCGTCAAAGGACACACTGTCGCTCCCACCCTGGCCAAACACGCAGTAACAAGGGTTATTCTCTCATTTAGTACTACCTACCTGTCTGAGACAGCCTKCAGTGCCCTTGTCACAATAAAAACAAAAGACCGGAACAGACTCGATGTCCACCAGGACTTTAGGCTGTCACAACCATCACACCTGACATGGCATTGCTGGTCAGAGGTATGCAAGCCCAAGGTGGCCATTAGTTTATGGACAGACTGACAGTAAAAAAAATGAAAATAATGAAAAAAATAAATGAAAATAAAAAGTTTATTGTTATGGATGTTAGTTATTGTAATGGTTGTACATGAACAGTACATGTAGTCGGGTCAGAAACTGTCACAAATCTCCCATTTCAGTTAATTGTCTTAAGCAGATCAGAGCTGCTGATAGTATCTGAAAATATTTTTTTTCTTGATGTAAGAAGGTGTGTATGCCCACTGTGTTAAGTTGTTAAAGAAAAACTGTTTAACTTTAATGTTTGTGACAGAAGGGGAAAAAACTGTATTCTGATCTGATGTATATCTGACAATGAATCTCTATTTCATTTCATTTCGAATCTGTTTGGCAGAAGGAAAGTTAAGTTTGAAGTTTAAATGATGATGAAATGAACGATGAGGTTTAAATGCTCTCTTGAAAAGAGATTTTTATGTCCTTGCAGTTGTTGTTTTATTGTGTATGACACACTTGATGACATAAAATGATTGTAGAACAAAGGGAACAGCTGTTTTTTTGTAAATAAATGACTTGATAACTTCATTCTTTTGATGCATTTGTGCAGACGGGTCGCAGCTGGGAGAGGAGGGTGTGAGGGGGCCTTGCTTGTCTTGGACACAAGCAGGGGGGGCTTTAAGGAAAAAAGGTTGGGAACCACTGGCCTAGTGGAAGATTGTTTCTTTAAAGGACTTAAACAAATCTGTCCTGTTCACTGTGATAATATCAGAGCAGAGATGATCGACCATCAATTGATTAGTTGATTGAAAATGAATCTGATTTACATACAACTAGAGATGCTCTCATAACATTTAACTTCCTTATTCTGACACTGACATTAACTTTTATAACGTTTTAACCGCTCTATGCTACTCACCCTGTGTATGATATTGGCTGATGGTATTGAACATGTCTACCTTGAGCTCAGAGAGTTTTCTAACATTTTAAGGACAAAGTGCGGAGGTTTCTCACCGATGTCTCCGAGGTGGACGAGGCAGTGCTGGCAGATGTAGGAGCAGGAGCTGGGCTGCGGGCTGACGATGGCGCTGGTGTTGCTCTGTTTATTGCTGATGATGCCGAGCTGAGACGATTTGACGCGACACGGCAGGTCCACGTTAAAGACAGTGCACAGCTCCTGCAGTAACTGAGACAACAGAAGAAGAGCAGCCGTCTTTTAAACACTCAGTAAGTTTACTTGCACAGCAGCTTCCAAACCAAACAAGGTGTGAAAGAGTCTTGAATCCTAAAGTTTAAGGAACTTTGAGAGCTGAAGGAGGCAGTAGCTCATTTCAGAGGAAACATTAAAAAAGCAGAGCATGTGTTCTTCCTCTCTAACTTGTCCTGATTGTGCTGTTACAAGTTTATATTTTAGTCACGTCCAGTTCAAATTCACTCCTTATTTTTATAATCCTGAAGTATTTTCCAGCAGAGTTGTTGTTCTGAGCACAATCGAATCCTACAAAGACAGATTTGATTCTAAATTGAAGAATCCTGAAAACTCCTGGTGCAAACAGGTCATTTAGTTTACACAGGGTTGGATGGACTTCTGAGAGCCACCTGACTCTTACCTGTGTGTAGAAGCCACTTGCTGCCTCCAGAAACAGCGACAGGTTGGCCTGGACCTCACTGCGGTTGGGGTTGGCTCGGTTCTTGGCCTGGCTCTGCAGGGTGGTGATCTGGTTCTTAAAAGCATGATTCCACCTGCAGGGAGACACAGGAGTGAGGCGACAGGGAGACAGAGATTCCCCCTCTTCTGCGGTAACACTAAACTAACTGCAGGTTTCTCTGGGACGTGTGGTGGAGGCTGAGCAGCTTACAGGTCTTGCTCCACCTTCTTGTCCAGAGCGTACTCCAGGTCAGTCACCAGCATTTTCTGGTAGAGGTCCTGCAGGGCCTGCCGAGACGTCCACACCTCTGCTGCCCCCAGCTTTGAATCTACACAACAGAGTAGAGACGTGGTAACACTGTGGTGGACAACACGTTTGTCTGCTCTTAGACAAAGTTCGTGCACAAATGATCAGAACATTTTTTGTTTTTGTGTAATAACTGGTTGTATAGAAAGTCTTGTTCAGTTGGATGCAGTGTCTGCACTAGAGTCTAATGATTTGAAACAAGTAGAGCTGCATGGATTAACTCTGGGGACGTTTTCACTTGTGAGTTAGCAGGATCACACAAAATCTACTGATCTCCAGTAAACTTGGTGAGGATGTTTTCTGGGTCGTCACAGGGGCAAATCCAGGAACTTGTTTGAATAACATTGTAAGATTTAATATTTTTGAACATTTTCAATGATTTCTCAGAGAATAAATCACAATGAAAACAATTAGACATGTTTAGAGAATTGATATTTATGGGGGGGGGGTGATTTGGTGCAGACTGACTGAATTTATCTGATGTTGGTGGAGGTATTAACTCCACTGAGAGACGTTCTCACTCACTACTCTCACTCTCACTACACTCAGACTCTGCGTTTTCTCACATTTATAGAGAAAATTATTCATCAGAAATAATGACCATGTCCATCCATCAGTCTACTCTGCTCCTCTAAAGCTAATCAGCTCCACAGCTGGTTAGCCCTGCTGTATCTGTGACCACGGTGCTCTATCCCGGTAACCTTGGTGATCCGACCAGATTAAAAGTGGACCAACACCTGAGTTAAAGTGGACTACAGCAGGATGAGCCAATGATCTGAGTCGGACCGAGCAACTCACACCAACGTCAAACACCATCAGGCGTCACAGACTCGCTGCTCTGAGTGAAAATAAATAGATCTGCAACGATCCGTCCAAGATTTGTTTGACAGAAAAGAATCTTAAAGGCAAACAAAGAAAATATTTCTGTCCCTTGCTTCTTAAATGTGAGAATTTGTTATTTCTTTGTTGTCACACATGACGATGACTGAGGACATTTTGTCAACATGTTGTACTGTGGGACATCCAACTACACTTCTTTTACTTTCAGGCCACGGTAGCTGGAAGGTTAATTATAATACCACTGTGTTGTGTACTCAACAGTGTGGTTACCTGAGGACATGTAGTGAGGACAGGTACGTGTAGTGAGGACAGGTACGTGTAGTGAGGACAGGGACATGTAGTGAAGACAGGGACATGTAGTGAAGACAAGTACATGCAGTGAAGACAGGTACATGTAGTGAGGACAGGTACATATAGTGAGGACAGGTACGTGTAGTGAGGACAGGGACATGTAGTGAAGACAGG